AGCAAGGTACATTGAAACATTTTGTTCCAGGAGGATGCTAGAAGTGGGAGGATGAAATTCTGCTTACTGAAGGAGGATGGTTTAAAACTGTTTTAGGGGGAGAACCTCAAGCTATCTGCTGTGGGTTTGTTATTGTACAGATGGAGACTTTCAGTTTTGTCATTGGGGTTTTTTTGCTCTCTCTCATACCCTGTAATTCTGCAGAAGTACCTGTGAGCAAACAAGGGAGCATTAGAACTGTGGTGAGGGAAACGAGACAGAGGATAAGGAAAAGGCCTCTGGCTTCCCTGTAATCATGACTGAAGTTACATCTCAGCATATGTGTTCCCTTGAGCAATGGGAACATCATCCTGTAATTGGGGTCCTGATTCATTTTGTCATCGGACTTTTATAGCTGGTTAATGAAGATGATTACCGTGCAATAAGTCTGCATACCTTGACAATCCGGTTGCATCTGGAGTTAGGGTGCTGTTCTAGAGCTTGATATTTTGCCTTGAGAAAAAAAAAAGGTTTTAATTCAGAAGATTGTCTGTGTCCTTTTGTCTTACCTTAAAGTTTGTCTTGTTTTGGTTTTCTACCTTGACAAAGATTTGAAATTAATGCCCTGAGATTTAGGAGATTGGAAACACAGTGGCCAGGGTCCCTCTTATTTCCCATTAGTTTCACACTTCCCTATCTGGTTTTATTCTAGTGAATAGTTTCCTCCTTTAAAGATGACCCTGAGAATATGACTTGAAACGTAAGTCTCTAGTCTGTAATAATCTGCTTGTTTTCATAACCATTTTCTTACTGGAACTGAAGCCAGTCACGTCTGTGTAATATGATGACAAGAACCCTGATGCTGTGCATGCATAAATCACGTCCCTTGAAGTGTCATTTCCTACTGGCAGAGCATGTCATTACCAGAAGGGAAGAGATTAATTTGTGTCTCACAGGTGAAGAAAGCTCACTCAAAGTTAGTTTCAAGTTAATGTAATCTAACTCCTTGTTAGCAACTCCATTGTAAGCACAGGGAGGGGAGAAAGGGGCAAAAGTTTGGGAAGTAGCAGGTCGTCCTAACAACTGTTCTCCTCGAACAGCCATCAAGTACAGACCTTGTTTTAGTGGTTGTACTAAAGAATCTTTTCTATTCACTCCATTTTATAGCTATTTTAATGGCATCTGTGACCAAAGTGATACTTCACAGGAATTTTACACATTTATTTGTATTCACTGGATATGAACACATAATTACAATGACAGTTTTATGTAGACTTTTCTTTGTCAAACATTAATTATGTTTGATGTTAGATTAGAAGGTACATTTTGAGGTATAACTTGAAAGAAACTAAGTTGCAGTGAGTACTTATAGTGGGAATAGTAAGACATAAAACACGTTGCTTAGCCAACAAAGCAGGAATTGCCTCGTGAGAAAATCAGAAACGTGTGACAGGTAAATCTTTTTAAGCGTGGCAGTGACACAAGGCCCAACTAGTAAAACATTCTCTCATTTCTCCTGGCCTGTAGGTAGAAACATGAGTCTTCATTCCCAGCAGAATCTAAATCCACAAGTTGCTGTGACAGTGCTTCTTTGCTCCTTACTGACCTTCTGAAACAAAGTACAGAAAATAAGTGTAGCCTGGAACAATGACCAAAACCAACTCGTCTCTTTTCTAGTCCTGACACTGATTTTTTCCTCCCTAAAAAGGAGAATTTTGATTAAACCATCACTATGCGGCAGAAGACTTAGGAGAAAAAAGAAAAAAAAAAAAGCCATTTACTATGACCAAAATGCCTATGCTTGATGAAACCATAAATATTGCGCTGAAACCATAAATACTCTATCTTGAATTAATATACTGATCTCGGAATCCTTTATTTCATCTTTGGCAACTTCATGGATCTTAATATTATTTACTTAATAAGGTACATAAGTCATAGTATCACAGAGTCATAGACTGCTTAGAGTTGGAAGGTGATAGCGGAATAGACTCCACAACTTCGTTAAAGTTGTAAAGTAGGTATGCTTTATTCAGCTGAAGATGCACGGGGGATTGGTCCTCCAAAAGGCATGCGTACCTCAGTGCCGTTTTCCTTTTACATTTATCCTGTAAAGTCATACATATGTATTAGGTCGCACAATACTTCTGTACATATTCATATTCTATCCCTGCTTCGTACTATAATGAGCTAAAAGGCTCTCCACGCATGCGCAGTGCCTCCTGGTGGTCTTGGGCAGGGGTCTTCAGATGAAGTAAGTAGTCTTCCTCTTGTGGGTAGGGGTCTTCAAGATGAAGTAAACGAGTCTTCCTCAGGCTTGAACCTTTTACCTCTGGTCCTCACGCATGCTCTTTAGGAGCTGCATGGGTCTGGTCTATGTCCAACTGGTTTAATGAGCTGTTCTCTTCGATAGGAAGTTCTATCTTGGTACTGCCTGATAAGGCATCTGCTGAGCTTGTCAAACAAGCGGAGAACACGGAACCGCGGATCGGGACTCCGCACTCGCTCCGCAGCTACGCTACGTCTCAGTCACACAAACACAAACCCCTCGCACTCGGGATCCCCCACACTTACACCGGTTCTCGCTTACTCACCACCAGATGCCGCTTGCACCCTTCAGTGAAACCTGGAGCTCGATTCAGCCGCTCTATCGGCGGGCTCCCTCAGCCCGGAGCTCCTTTTGGATTCGTCCCATACAAACTGCTGCTCTATCAGCAGACGAATCCCTAGACTCACCCGACCCACCACCAGGGTCGCTAGCGGCCGCTCTATCGGTCGGTGAGTCCCCTGCTTGCAAGCCCTACCTACCGAGGGGAACAACGCTGTGCGCCAGACATCTCTGAGCGCCTTAACCAGCAGCCCCGGTCACGCGTCCACCTTACAGGCCTCTTACAAGTCCTAGGACAATTACAAACTACTACAATTACAAACTACTACAATTAGGAGCTGCATGGGTCTGGTGTATGTCCAACTGGTTTAATGAGCTGTTCTCTTCGTTAGGTTGTCTTGGTACTGCCTGATAAGGCATCTGCTGAGCTTGTCAAACAAGCTATAACTTAAGCAGTACCCCCTTGTACAACCCCCCTGTTCTCCTCATTAGGAGGTTCTGTCCTGGTACTGCCTGATAAGGCATCTGCTAAGCTTGTCAAGCCAGCTCTAACTTAAGCAGTACCCCCTTGTACAACGCCCCTCTGTACATTTTGTCTAACCCCCTTGTACACCCCCCCTGTACACAATAGGCCACATCAGTTTCAATTCCCCCCTTTTCTATAAAATAAGTGAATTCTTTTACTTAAGAGGTACCCAGGTCCCTTCAATGGAACTGCAAAACATATTCAATACACATTGGATTAAGCATGGAATTTTCATTAAAACCAAAAGAACTACAGCCTGTACACAATAGGCCACATCAGTTTCAGAAGGGACCTTAAAGCTCATCCAGTTCCCACCCCCCTGCCACCTTCCACTAGAGCAGGTTGCTCGAAGCCCTGTTCAACCTGGCCTTGAACACTGCCAGGGATGGGGCAGCCACAACTTCTCTGGGCAACCTGTTCAGTGCCTCACCACCCTCACAGTGAAGAGCTTCTTCCTCATGTCTAATGTAAATTTGCCCTCTTCCAGTCTAAATCCATTTCTCCTTGTCCTATTCACCTAAAACCAAGTCTTACTTTGCCTCAAGGAAAAGTACTCCAAATAAATTTGGGGAATTTTGCTGTGATAAATATTAATTGTAACTGTATCACAAGTTACTGCCTTTGAGAGTCACTGTCTCTTACAGTGCAACTTCTGTTGTTTTCTGGGACCATACTCACTTTAATAGATTGCAGTTACCCTGAAACAGGAATGAATGACTCAGTGATCTTAGTTGCATGAGGTTTATGCTCCAGAACTTGGAAGAGGGACACAAGTGGGGTCTTATTTTGTCCCTCAGAGCCATCAAGCATGCAATCAGTGGTGGAGTTTTTCCATGTCAACAACACTCTTTCAGATCTGGAACAGCCCAGTTTCTAAGATACTTTTGCCATCACTGGGTACAGTTGGTTTTGTTTTGTGCAGCATTGCTTTGTAGGAACATCATAAAGGGCAGAGAAAGCAGATGGAGGTGGCACTTTTGTGTGTGTTTCCCTGACGTAATGTCATGGGTATTGCTCAAGTTTGCATTGAACACAAACATTTGCATGTGTGGGCATGAAGATTCTGTTGGATAAGGTGATACCAAACAAATGACTGACCAGAAAAGGGTCAGGCCTTGCTAACTGCTTTACTGATGTAAAGAGAATTTTTCTTGTAAAATAACAAAATCCAAGAGTGGGAGCTCGTTTCTTTGTGCTTTGCTGTTCATTTCGGTGTAACCACAACGTGTTTATTCCACTGAAACATGAGGAGTAGCAATGGTTCTGTTCCTCAGAAAGGGAAATTATCAGCTATGGAAAAGGCAGGTGTTCGGGTAAGACAGAAGTTAAGAATTACCTTGGTCTCATTTATAACTATGTATATAAGTAAGTCACTGAAATCCCGGGGCTGGCGGGAAGAAGAGGGAGAGCACACAGCACCGCCTGAGGAGACGCCCTCCGCGGGGGCTCGTCCCCGCCCGCCGCGGCAGTCAGCGCCGCCCGCCACGAGCCGAGCCGAGCCGTGGCGGAGCGCGCCTGAAGGCGGCTCGCTCCCCGCCGGCGGAGGCGGCCGAGGACCATGCTGTCGGGGCTGGGCCGGGCGGTGCGGAGCGGCGGGCGGCAGCCCCCGGTGCTGCTGTGCGGCCGGGCAGCGCGGGGCAGGCGCGGTGGCAGCCCCCTGCCCTCAGCGCCTCAGGTGAGCCGCGGAGCGGGCGAGGTTCGCCGCGGGACGGCGTCGGGACGAAGCTGGAGTGTCCCGCGCGGCCGCCGCCTTTTCCCCTGACGCGTGGCGGGGCTTGGCGAGCGAGCGGAGCGGCACAACTTGGGGGAAGCGCAACAGCGGCGTTACCGCGGCCGGGCTGGGGGCTTCGGGGCCTGGCGGGACGGGCCCCGTGGGACCGCTGTCTGGAGAGAGGCGCGGTGACTCACGCGGGGGGCCGGGAGGCGCCGCTGGTAGCGGCCGCGGGCTGGGGACGCCCTAAGGGGCGGTGGGGCCTCAGCGTGCCTCTGGCCTCGTTCCCGGCTCCGGACTGGGTGGAGAGTAACGGGTGAGTCACGGCCTGCTGCCGTGAGGTGCGAGGGGGGAATGGCAGCGCAAGAAAAGTTTCCTCACAGGCTCTCGGGGCGTAAGAATAATGAGGTCCGTCTGCCTGTGCGCTTCTGTGGGCTTTAATAAGTCTTAGAGTTGAGTTGTACAGACCTGCCGGGACGTGGGACAGTGTGGTTCTGGAGTACTGAGTGACTGGGAGAGGAGGCAGCTTTCTCCTCAGTGGGTGTTTTTAATGTTAGAGATGCTATACATGCTTGCAGGCGTTGCTGTGGTGGAACGGGATAGCCTGTGTCCAGGGCACACTGGTAGTGAGGAAGTCTCTGGAGCATATGGTGGCAGGCTTCTCAGTGAGCAGCTTCCAGAGCTTCCTTGAAGCTGGTGGTGGCAGTTGGATTTGAGGAGTTGTGTGGAATGAGCTCTCTGCTCTTGGCTAAGAAAATTTGCAAGAACTGGTCAAAACTCTCCTACAAAATGCCGTTGCATTAATTTGCCGCACCTTTGTTAGTGTGAGTGGCTCTTCTTTGTCATGCGTGTACATGAGGGCACAAGAGAGGAATTACAGATAACTATTGACTTAGCTTCCTTAATCTTCTAAGGTTCAAACAAGGTATGCTAAAACCATCTTGCACCTCCCTGAGAGGATTACACTATCATTCAGCACACGCTGATAACGACACCTCTTAACTTCTCCAGGGTAGTGCTTTGCAGACAAGCTTCCTGCTTTTCTGAGGCTCTGAAATGACACTGAAGCTGATAAAGCTTCAGGAAGAGACAGCGAAAATAAGAGGGGGAGGAGGAAATGCACTTGCTCTGTCAGTGCTGCCGTTATAAGAAACAACAGAAAAGCGATCGGCCCTGTTACTTCGTGGGATGGAACATGACAGTGATGTGACTCAGGAACCGAATACTTGCACCGAATAGATTAAGGAGAGGAATGTTGTAATTTTGAGGAAAATTCTAATTGGGAAAAGAGTTTAATGCAAGACTTTGTGTATTTCTTCAGTGGAAAATTTTTGAATAAATTAATATAAAATGCTTTTTATGTATGCAATCCATAGTGCTACCTTTTCTACAGAGTTGTTAGCATGATAGGTAATGGAGCATGTTTACTGGTTTTGCCCTTCCTGTTTCCATCTTTGGGTACATTTCATTTTTTTTTAATTACACATCTGCAGAACTGTTCAGGCAATTAAAATATTTGTTCTTGTAAACACTAAATGAATGGCCAGCAGCTGTCATTTCAGGCTAGTGAAAGTAGGAAGTGTGGCAGTTGTTACTGTAAGTTGTTCAGCTCTTTATGGTTTCAGTGTAATGCAGAACGTCAGGTGCAGCACATCTTGTTCGATGCAAATATCCCTATTGTGATACTTTATTTTTCTGTTTTATCTTTTCTCTTTCCCCTGATTGTTGCTGTTGCACTTGGCTAGTTCTGCTCCTTGCCATTGCTGTTTGTGTGAGCAAATATTTTGCTTCTAGTCCTGGACAGAAAGGTTGGAGTGCTTGCACAGGGCTGAGGAACACAGGGTTTGATTGCTTGTTGCCTTTGTGTTCAGTGTGGTCTGGTGCCATTGTGGGCCATGTTCGCTAGCTTGTTTGATGATGAGAATCCATTTGATCAATTTGATCTCTTTTGTGGCACTGACTGTAGCTTTCCATTTGTAAAGCTGGAGGTGATACTTCTCTGTGGCCACAGAGGGCTGTAGTGTGGGTACTTAGTCATCACATACTGAAAGATACTCAAGTATTACTGTGTTGATAGGCAGGTGTGTATTTGTGTGTGGTGTTTTTGACTAATAAATCCACTGCTGTTGGGACAAAAGAGCCATCATTGCAGGGGCTAATTTGCTGTAATTTCTCTGTAAAAGCAGGGATTGCTCTCCCAAAGAACTGTATCCTTAACTGTTAGCTTTTCAGCTCTGCTTTTAGACAAAATCCACAATTATTCTTGTAGCGGTGATCAGCTGCTTTGCTTTTAAAGTGATACTCATACAAATTCCTTTTTATTTTGTAAAGTTGAGGGTTTTGTTACATGTGGAATTTTGTATTAAGTTTTTTTTAAGTGGCTAGTGCTTAGACACTTAGTTTTTCAAACCAAGAATCTTGTATCATATTTTTCAGACAGGCTTTCTTCTTACACATAACTTTATTCCCCAGAGGGCACAGTTCATTTTGCTAAAGTCCCAGATTTATCATACTGTAGTTATTTTGCATGTGATGAAACCTAAAGGTTGCCAACTCTTTCACTTCCTCTTCACTTGCACAATTTAACTCTCGCAGATCTTTCTGAGAGAAATGCCCTGCTTTCACTGCTCCCGTTGCCATATCACAATGGAGAACAGATATGTTAACACAGAATCAAAGCTTAGAATTGCTGGGGTTTGGTTTGTTTTTTTTTTTTTTTTTTTGTAAATTCATAAACCTTCTAAGCGGGGAAACATTGAAAAGACTGGATTTAATATAATTCTTTTTTTTTTTCTTAGATGTTCCTCATTACCCTCTTTATAGCGCTGAGTCTGATGAATCTAAAATTGGGTTGTTTTCTATGGCCGTTCATATACGTGAGATTCCCAGTTTAGTCCATACTATGGAGATCTGTACCAGCATGCCTGAATCGCTTGGGATGTGGAAAACGAAGCCTGGGTTACACAGTGTCACTTCCCTTAACACTACTTTTCTTTGAAGTCTTGCAGCCTTGTTCTAGCTACAACTGTTTCTATCCTGTACAAAGGTGGACAGAAATGTATGAAGATGAAGTGGGGACACTTCTCCTGCAAAAGGCAGGGCTTGATTTCAACAACTATGAGTGAGGGAACTAAAATGTGAAAACTTGGTTTGTTTTTTTTTTTTTCCCAAAATGTGAGTTTATTTAACATCATTAATTCAGAATGCATTCAATTTTTGTGAGAAAAGTTCTCTTACAATTGTATTCCCCCTCTGGAATACACTGTGAGAGGGAAGATGGTGTGTGAGCTGGCAAGATCAAATTGCAAAGGTTTCTGTGAAAAACATTAGGGCTTTTTTTCTTTCTTGAGTAGGATATCGAATATGCTTGTTGCTGGGGGGAATTTTCCTCCTAGTTGCCAACTGCAGCCAGTAGGAGAGTCACTGGTTTTGTTTATCTGCAGAAAGCAGGGTAGAGAGGAGGTTCTTTGTTTTGAGGTTTTTTGTCAGTTCCTGGTATCATCCATTTCTGTCAGAAATGTTTCTTTTAATGCTTTCAGCTGATAAGTTGTTGACTACCCAGTTCGTCAGACTGGCTTGAACTTTTTTCGTGTCCTTCCTCTTAGTTTTTATAGCTCTTCTGAATTACTGTAATGATCCCAGCATTATACCTGTCCAGTTTGCCCCCCCCTTTTTATACAGTCTTATAAGTAAGGACCTAAATGGGTCCACAAGTCCTAACAGCTACTGGGTAATTGGAAATGTGTTGTTTTTTTTTCCTTTGCATTAATTTATTTATTTACTTACTTACTTCTTTTCTCTTTTGCACATACTCTGCTATCAGGATTTCTAAGATAGTCTGTCAGAGCAGCAACTCCAGGACATGCCAGGCAGCTTCACAGAGGTGAATTATCATTGTCTTGCCCTGCTAATGTTTCACTTAAATGTTATTTAAGTCCTGGCTTTGTATTTTCAGCCTACTTGGGTCCTTTGGAAATTGAGGTCCAATTGGAGCCAAGAACTGGGAGTAATTTGTGGCTACTGGGCGTGTTCTGCCCCATATTTCCTTCCATTTGAAAACCTTTCACAACACAAGTTAGCTTGTTGATCTAAACAGAAACCTTGAGCTTATACTACCATATGTCAACAGAAACATAGAACCCACTCAGCTGTTTGTTTATGGAAGTACTGTTCACTCTTACTGATCTCTAAATGCCTTAGAAAGCCATCTAGATCTCTGGCACTTCCTATAGGAAATGTGCCTGTCTCAGGAGGTTCATGTATTTGCCTCTGATGGCATGGCTATGCCAGAACAACCGAATGGCTGCTAGTTATTTCCTGTTATCTCTTGTCATCTGACAGCTGGGAGATAGTTAGTTTTCTCTAATAAAAGCTTTTGGAGAGAGATGTGACACATAGCACAGAAATTCATCATCCTTTGTACTTCACCTAATCTCATCTACTGTTTATCTAATCTGTCTGGTACAGATTCTGTACTACCTGCAAACCACTCATTTCCTTGAAATTTAGGGCATTTCTAATAACCAGCATCACTCAGTATTTGAAACTGGCATCAGCAGTGTTTTTGTCCAACAGGGCAGAGAACAGAAAAGCAGCAAACTCAGATGTGTATATCAAATCAGCTATCCTTGCATAGAATATTGCTATGCTTTTTTGCCTACTCTGAGCAAGTGTTAGTAGGTGCGTTTCTTTGTGTGAATACAGTGATTCCTAAGAAAGGAAATGAAAACGTGCTTCTGCAAGGCTGTGAAGAATGCAGTTGTGCTCCTTAGGATCACAGGCTTAAAGAAGTTGGAGCTTTTGTGTGCTGACTAGAGGCTGTGTGGTATGCAGAAAATGTAAAGAAACCCTAAAATTTAAATGCTGTCCAACATTACTATCTATAGCAGAATCTGCATAGTATTTTATCCAGCTTCCCCAAGAGCTTTGTCATACGGGATGCAGGAGCAATAGGCTGTGCTTCTTAAAGACTGGGAAGTACATTAGTCCAAATATATGCAATAGACATCATAAAAGAAAATAAAAATTTACTTCCTGTCTACTGTAGCAACATTGTTTATTTATTTTGCGTAATTTTTTTTTTAATTTAGAATGGAGCTAGGAATAGTCATACCATAAAGTGATACCTGTATTGGCTGCATCAAGTAGCTGACAGAAAATGATGCTGTGATTTCATGTGAAGTGGATGTTGTGGTCATACGAATGGTACTGTGTGAGTAATTTTTTTTGTTGCTCGTGCAATGAGGAGCATCAAAGTCTGGCACTGTTCCTTCTGGCACTCTCAGTTTTTCTGTACCTGTAAAAAGACTAATACTAAACCTCTAGAAGATGTCTTAGGTGCTCTGAAGATTTACCAGAGAAGTGTTGAATACGAAATGCTGATTACAAACCTAGTGCATGTTTTAAGAATATGAGTCTCTTCTGATGTTTTTTTTAAGGTTTTTTTTAAAAACATGTTTTAAAGCTTATAGGGCAAGAACTGTAGACTATTCTAGAGCTTATAATATCTTAATTTCTGAAGTAATGAGAGAGGAAGGAAACGGAAGTAATAATCTTTTTCGTTTGGTTGGGTTTTGGTTTTTGTTTTCTTGTAATGAGGACTTAACTTTCTGAAGTCCTTACACAGTAAAATTTTTGGCATTGAAGAGGAAGCAAACAATACACCTGTTCTCAACATCTAGTTAAACATTATAACCTTTTTTTTCAACCTTCCTCTTAAAGGGAAATGAGCTGAAGGAAAACAAATGGGATAGCTGGGCTTGAGCTAGGCTTGCTTACTCTAGGATTGTCTTTACTGTGGTGACATACTTGCTAGTCAGCAGCAAAGATGGATTTCTCATTGGGCTGCTCATTGGTGGGGGGCATTCCTACAGCCAGAGGAGAAGGCAGTAAACTTAGCTAAGCCCAGAGGTGTTTCACAGGCACTTCTGGACCTTGTTATAACGTTGATTAAGTGCCTGCTAAGGGCATGTAATACCAATGTGTATTCCCATGGGTTCGTTTCTCTCTTTTTTTGCTATTTTTCCAGAAAGGTGAAAGGGAGAGACAGGTTCTTTCTGTTGCTGCCTTGTCCTCTTATCTTGCTGTCAAGATACTGAGTAGTAACTTGGTGATCAGGTTTGCATGGGAAAGAGGTGGCTCTTTATAAGGTCACTCCTGCCACTCTTACAACTGCTCATTGTGTCATTTCTGGTATCCCCCTAATC